TTTGTGGACCATCTAACCATCTTAACCTGGCTTCAGTAGTTTTTCTAACAATGCAAGTGTATCTGCTTTGTGTGCAGGTCTTTAATATCTGCTTCATCATGGAGAAGCAAGCAGCAAACTCTCTCTGGAAATCTTGAGGTAATAAGCAAAGGGGAGGAAGAGAAGGAAACAACAAAGTTAGCAGGCGAGCGAAGGGAAACCATAATGAGCCGCTTTCCTTCGAGTAATAGAGGAGAAAACCTAATGCACACGCCAGCGAGAGAAGCACGCAGACCATTAGAGACACGCAGGAGGCTTGAGAGAGAAAGAGCGACTGATAGCGGATTGTGTGTAATGTGGCTGAGCTGTCGACATGAGAGTGAAGAGCTCTCAGTCATGACAGAGTCATTCGGCTGAAATTAGCTGAAGCGGTTCAACAGCGACGAGAAGAGCACTTTGTCTGAATGTCATTTTCCCAACAAAACACCCATTCTATGAAGTAATAATGAACATCTGATTCCATAGTGTCTGAATGCATAATGATGCTCCGTTAATTAAATACAAGGCAGATTAAACAAGCTGATCTGCTCAAACTTAAAAAAAAAGATGCAATGACAATCAAAACACAAAAAGATGAAACAATTCAACTTCAGCTTCAGTAATTGCTTTCTATTTTACCTTTCATCAAAACATCAAATGTTTGCTAATTGGAGTAGCTGGCAAACTTGCTTTGATTTTGTTAATTGGGCTTTAGTAACGAGCAAGGTTTTGTGCTTTAGTTATTAAGACGTCAATTGGCTGCAGAAGAAAACGGCTAAATTGCGTAAAGCATGGTGTAAAACGGTTGAAATGTTTTGACATTTGCATCTGACACTCACCACTCCACAATCACTGGGTGCAGCAGGGAATTATTCACCTGAAACCTGCAGAAGAGAAGGAAAAACATCATCAACAATGTCTCACAATACAGACAGTCTGCTATTGTTTTAGTATCTGAATCCTCCTTTTGTCAATGTTTTGTCAAGGCTTTAGAACAGATGACAATTGTGTTGATATTTTTTATTCAATACAATGACATTCAACATTTTTTAAATACTTTCTGATGCATAAATGAATGAATATCTAATATTTAGAACTATTTCTCATTAGGATCAGAGTCTTTTCATGCATCAGTCTAAACGGGTGGGTCGTTTTATCCGAGCACAGAGAGGACGCGTGTGCTACTTTCCCTGGAATGAGTTTTAGGAACAGAGCTCTGAATAATGGATGAAACTCACTGGCTGATGCCTTCAAAGGACGCTTCGCGACAGGTGCTGCCGCTATCGGTGTTCACTCCCCGCTACACACACACACACAGAAACAGACATTAAACCTACTCAATGTCCCATTATCCAAAAAGAATAGAACAGAACTAAAATCACATCTAGGCCAGATGTCTGAACATCTAAATTTACCAAAAACCCTAACTGAGAGAGTCTTATGAAAACATGACCAGGTCACTATTCACCCCAAAGTGTAAAAACAAAAATAATAAAATAATAAAAAGTTATGTTTACTATTATTCATTTATTAATAAATTATTATTATTATTATTACTATTATTATTATTATTAAATAACTAATAATACAAGTGTTTACTATTAATATGATATGTTTACTATTTATTTATTATCAGTGTTATTATTATTATTATTAAATAACTAAATAATATTAATAATAAAATCAATGCATTGTGTACTATTAATTATTTATTAAAAGCTATTTAATAATAATAGTAGCAATAAACTATTAATAAATAATAGTAAAATAGCAAAAATGTATTGATTTTATTATTATTATTATTAAATAACTAATATTAAAAAAATAATAAAATCAATAAGTTATTTTTACTATTTATTTATTATTAACCGGTTGTTGTTATTATTAAATAAATAAAATAGCAATAATAATAATAATATATTTACTTTTTATTATTATATATGGTACTATTTCAATTATATATTTTCTCTTTAATTAAAAAATATAATGTCTAACAGAGACATCAATAACAACAATTTATATATACATTTACATTTTTATTTACACTGAATTAATGTTTTATACATACACATATTTATATATTTAATAAAATATATTTTATTTTGCATTAATAATATATTAAAATAAAAATGTATATTGTGTTAAATGTATACTATGTACATTACAATGAATGTACAGTATATAATAATAATAATAATAATAATAATAATAATAATAATAATAATAATAATAATAATAATAATAATAATAATAATAATAATAATAATAATAATAATAATAATAATAATAATAATAATAATACTACATGTATACATAATTAAATTGCTATGTTATTTTTTTTATTTATACTTTTTTTATTTATACCATAGTCCAAATATCACTACAAGACAAGGTTGGCATCTTGAAAGACTTTACATAAAGTAAATGAGAAAGCTCTTACCAGTGTGAGCAGGACACTCGGCTTCATTTTAGTCAGCACATCAGCAATCTGTGGAGAAAAGCTTTCATTAGAGCGGATCATTTAAGCGGAATATCACTGGCTTTGCAGGAATATCAGTGAAAATCCCCGGACGCCGCTGACAGGTGCACTAATGAACGACAGAAATGGCCTTGGAGGAGAGATTTCTTATGAAAAGCAGATCCAGCGGTGGCGGCAGACAGACAGACAGCGTAAATGTCAACCGAAGAGAGAATGAATCACCAATAATCTGCACGAACAGAACGAGCAAAGGATTGTGGGAAGGAACACCTGAGCTGTCTTATGTGCTCCCAGGAGTGGATAAGCAGCATTTTAAACCCGCAGGACGAATCAAGCGCAGACTATTTCACCTCAGGGCAGATTTCGGAGCAGAATCCACATTTCTGTCTGATACTTCATCCAACAGAAATCCATACAGACGACACCAGCGCTGAATGCTAAAGCGATAGTCGGTCAGTATTTACTCAGCCTCATGTTAGTGCACACCTGTATGCAACAGAACATTGTTGAACATCTTTTGTTCATGCAGAAGCGTCAGGATCTATTATCATATTCTAATAGAGCTGTCAGGAAAACAGATTGAGTTGTGACGACAGTCTGAGGAGTAAATGAAGCTTTCGGCGTCCTGAACGAATGAACCCAGCGAGAACATCAGATTAATGCGGTGCGGGAGCCGTGTGCTTAAAGGCCCTTATCCACAAATTACAAACACGCCGCGAGCCCAACGACAGACAGCACTGACACCCTGACCACATCCACAGAATATGAGCTGAGAGACCGATTAGGACATCTTTATTATTATTATTACTATTAATTATTACTACTACTTTTATTATATATTATTATATTTTCATTTTTCAATTATGAACAATTTTGTATATACACTACACATACAGCAAAATTTCATACATACATACATACATACATACATACATACATACATACATACATACATACATACATACATACATACATACATACATACATACATACATACATACATACATACATACATACATACATACATACATACATACATACATACATACATACATACATACATACATACATACATACATACATACATACATACATACATACATACATACATACATACATACATACATACATACATACATACATACATACATACATACATACATACATACATACATACATACATACATACATACATACATACATACATACATACATACATACATACATACATACATACATACATACATACATACATACATACATACATACATACATACATACATACATACATACATACATACATACATACATACATACATACATACATACATACATACATACATACATACATACATACATACATACATACATACATACATACATACATACATACATACATACATACATACATACATACATACATACATACATACATACATACATACATACATACATACATACATACATACATACATACATACATACATACATACATACATACATACATACATACATACATACATACATACATACATACATACATACATACATACATACATACATACATACATACATACATACATACATACATACATACATACATACATACATACATACATACATACATACATACATACATACATACATACATACATACATACATACATACATACATACATACATACATACATACATACATACATACATACATACATACATACATACATACATACATACATACATACATACATACATACATACATACATACATACATACATACATACATACATACATACATACATACATACATACATACATACATACATACATACATACATACATACATACATACATACATACATACATACATACATACATACATACATACATACATACATACATACATACATACATACATACATACATACATACATACATACATACATACATACATACATACATACATACATACATACATACATACATACATACATACATACATACATACATACATACATACATACATACATACATACATACATACATACATACATACATACATACATACATACATACATACATACATACATACATACATACATACATACATACATACATACATACATACATACATACATACATACATACATACATACATACATACATACATACATACATACATACATACATACATACATACATACATACATACATACATACATACATACATACATACATACATACATACATACATACATACATACATACATACATACATACATACATACATACATACATACATACATACATACATACATACATACATACATACATACATACATACATACATACATACATACATACATACATACATACATACATACATACATACATACATACATACATACATACATACATACATACATACATACATACATACATACATACATACATACATACATACATACATACATACATACATACATACATACATACATACATACATACATACATACATACATACATACATACATACATACATACATACATACATACATACATACATACATACATACATACATACATACATACATACATACATACATACATACATACATACATACATACATACATACATACATACATACATACATACATACATACATACATACATACATACATACATACATACATACATACATACATACATACATACATACATACATACATACATACATACATACATACATACATACATACATACATACATACATACATACATACATACATACATACATACATACATACATACATACATACATACATACATACATACATACATACATACATACATACATACATACATACATACATACATACATACATACATACATACATACATACATACATACATACATACATACATACATACATACATACATACATACATACATACATACATACATACATACATACATACATACATACATACATACATACATACATACATACATACATACATACATACATACATACATACATACATACATACATACATACATACATACATACATACATACATACATACATACATACATACATACATACATACATACATACATACATACATACATACATACATACATACATACATACATACATACATACATACATACATACATACATACATACATACATACATACATACATACATACATACATACATACATACATACATACATACATACATACATACATACATACATACATACATACATACATACATACATACATACATACATACATACATACATACATACATACATACATACATACATACATACATACATACATACATACATACATACATACATACATACATACATACATACATACATACATACATACATACATACATACATACATACATACATACATACATACATACATACATACATACATACATACATACATACATACATACATACATACATACATACATACATACATACATACATACATACATACATACATACATACATACATACATACATACATACATACATACATACATACATACATACATACATACATACATACATACATACATACATACATACATACATACATACATACATACATACATACATACATACATACATACATACATACATACATACATACATACATACATACATACATACATACATACATACATACATACATACATACATACATACATACATACATACATACATACATACATACATACATACATACATACATACATACATACATACATACATACATACATACATACATACATACATACATACATACATACATACATACATACATACATACATACATACATACATACATACATACATACATACATACATACATACATACATACATACATACATACATACATACATACATACATACATACATACATACATACATACATACATACATACATACATACATACATACATACATACATACATACATACATACATACATACATACATACATACATACATACATACATACATACATACATACATACATACATACATACATACATACATACATACATACATACATACATACATACATACATACATACATACATACATACATACATACATACATACATACATACATACATACATACATACATACATACATACATACATACATACATACATACATACATACATACATACATACATACATACATACATACATACATACATACATACATATATATATGCATGCATGTGTGTATAGGCTATATATAGTCATTTAATTACATATGATAATATTTATATAACAATTAAAATAATAAAAAAACGGTACCTCATCTTGTTTAATTAGTATCTCCTAAACAGATTTTTGAAGAGTTGTTTTTAAGGTAAGGTAAAACAATAATAAATAATATGTACGTCATCTTGTTTAATTAATGACTAAAGAAATACTGCTGTTAGATCCAAAATAAAATGGATCAAAAGAACTGTGATAATGTTTTAAACAACAGAATTTAAATACTAATAACATAAAAATGTACCTGGTGTTGTTTAATGAATATTACTATAAAATCCTGCTCTTAAATAGATCAAAACAAGAGTGATCAAACTGTTCAATCAAAAAACATTGAACAGATGGCAAAGGGCTGAAATATTACATTAATCAAAGTTAATAAATAAATGAAACCCGACTAAACCAAAACTGAGAAGTTTTTAAGAAAGCGCTTAGTCAGATCTATTGCTGAGAGCTCAAGACAGATGGCGAGGAGAAAACAAATGACATGCAAGATTAATGACCGACTCTTAAAACATTTTAACAAAAATCCAAACTTAATTGGGTCTGGCAGCCGTGTCATAGACCCTTAATTATTCTAATTTTATGAGCGCAGAAATCAGTGATCAAGATTAATGGGCTCAAAATGTCTAAAAGTCGATGAAAACAAAATCAATAGTGTTTTCATCTGACATTCTGTCTGAGAATAGCAACACATCTGAGCGTAAGTGGAAAATGACGGTCATTA